AAGAGGGAGTATACATATATAAGAGAGAGTATACTTATATATACATATATACTAGGAGAGAGAGTATATATATATATATATATATATATATTATACATATAAGAAAATAAAAAATTTAAAAAAAAAAACACTGTTCCGGGCCGTCCCGGGCCCGGGCCGGACTCCGGGCTTTTTGGACACCCCTAAAGTAAACTCTGACTGTGGACGTCATAAATTTCTTGTGTCCAAATAACTATGCTAATTTAATATAAAATTTCAATACAAAATATGAATATTTACTCATTATCTTATTTTCACATAAAATTGAAGTAACAAGAGTAGAGTGTGGATTAAGATCAAAAGATTGCAGGTTCGTACTTCCGGAATTAGACATAAACTAATTCTAACACTAATTCCATTAAAATGAATCTATTTATTTAAGATCGTTAATTATGTTTATTAGAACTACATTCAATTAAGATTAAGTATAGCTCGAGTGATATAAAAAATTGAATTGAAACTAAATTAACAATATATAATGCACAAAGTTAAATAAACACAACGACAGAATCAAATTAATACCTTTATCGATTCAAAAGTAAATAAAGGAATAACGCAACGTTAAAGTAAAACCTCAGAATCCATCAATGGTGTTCTCTAAATCCATAAAGAACAATCTCCGAATCCACGAAGAATTATTAAAAGAGAAGTTTTATTGATGAAAAGATATTATTCTTTGGGGTTACATGACTCTTCTTAAATAGAAAAATAAATAAGACTTCTAGTAAGACTAGAATTACAAATGAATAGAAAATATCAAATTATATCCTAAAAGACTCCCTATAATAGAAGAAACAAATTATTAATCGAAATTAAATTTGTTTCCTAATCTAATTTGACTCTAATATTAAATTTGTTTTCTAATCTAAATAGACTCCAACTTTATTACTAAAAACAAACTAAAAGCTGATTATTTTTGGATTTTAGTCAAAATAGGATATTATTGATGATATTTTAAAAATCTGACAATCTGGTAGGTTCCGTCTTGTCGAAATAGGGGATTACATATATAATTTGTCAGAGATCGCTTTCTGGGTTGGTTGATATGATTGTTTCTTTGCGGAAGTCAATAATACG